CTATTCTATTCTATTCTATTCTATTCTATTCTATTCTATTCTATTCTATTCTATCTGCCTGCCTACCTACCCACCCACCCACACACACACACACACACACACACACACTTTCAGAGCTTATTTTTTTGCCTTTTTTGCACCTACTTTGCTTATGGCAACTTTGGTTATTAAAATTCTTTTTAAATCAATTGTTTCCTCCCCCCCCCCTTTAAAAAAATATCAGCTTTCCGAAGAAGAAAAAATCCAGCGCTACAGCATTCTTTCTGAGCTCTATGAGCGAATTGGATTTCATCGCAAATCAGCTTTTTTCAAACGAGTGGCCGCCATGCAGTGTGTCGCCCCAAGCATCGTAGAACCTGGTTGGAGAGCCTGCTACAAACTTCTTCTGGAAACACTTCCTGGTTATAGCCTATCTTTGGATCCTAAAGATTTCAGCAAAGGTACCACATTTGGCTTAGAGAGAAGCAAGCCAACAAGCATAACATTTCCTATTTTTGCTTTTATGTAATAAAGCCAAATGCATGAGGATAAAAATAAATAAATAAGTAAACTAAAGTTGCCCACAGGTGCTTTTTCAAGAGGCAACTGGACATTCTGGTTTTTCTTTGAAGATGCTTCGCTTCTCATCCAAGAAACTTCTTTAGCCTCTCACTGGATGGTGGGGAATGGAAGGATTTATATTCCTTGCTTGCAAATGACCAGTTGTTTGCAAGGAGTATAAATCCTTCCATTCCCCTCCATCCAGTCAGAGCTGAAGAAGCTTCTTGGATGAGAAGCAAAACGTCTTCAAAGAAAAACCAGAAAGTCTAGTTGCCTCTTGAAAAAAACACCCTTGGGACAACTTGGATGACAGAATCGCCATAGACGTAAAGTTGCCCAACTTATTTTCTCTCAAGCAGAACTCTTCCTTGTACAAAAACCCTTTGTGAATGGGAGGCATTCTACATTTTACAGTTTAGTTCTTTATTTTTAGAATTTAATTGACATAACTTAATTTTTCAGACATAACATTCCTTCTGTTTTGCTTGAATGGTAATTAAGGCCAGAGATATACAACAACGATAAGAAACAAGTTGAGAGCACATGCATGTTAGATTGAAGTCTATGAATCAAAATCCAAATGTTCATTAGGATCTGTACTTTGGGTCACAAAATAATTTGATCAAGTGGGAAATATGAATCTGTTTTTTTCCAGAGGGCAAAAATATTTTTAATGTGTTGAGGAAGGAATAATTTGTCATTGATTAAAATGGGCAGCCATCAAAATTGAACAAATAAATAAATATGCAGTAGCATAATAGATGCATCAATATTGTTCAAGGAAGCTTTTTGTGGGCTTTAATATAGATAAATTCAAATTCCTTATTTAGAAGAGCATGGGATTATGGCATTGGCTATCTTTGGAACCCTTTCTAATCACTGAGGACTTGCAAATAGTTGCATAGGGAATGCAAAGAAACTTTATATCACAGGATAAATACGACCCTTCCATTTTATCTCCTTGGCTAACCCTCAGCGTAGGATTCGATAACCTTGTCAATATCAGTCCCATATATGGAGGCCACTGCTAAATGAAGATTGAGTGACTGTGCTGTATTAAAAGTGTATAAATACAACATGTTATTTTGTTTTTTTTAAAGGAACTCATCGTGGTTGGGCTGCTGTACAGATGCGCTTACTTCACGAGTTAGTGTATGCCTCCAGGAGAATGGGAAACCCAGCACTTTCTGTCCGACACTTATCTTTTCTTTTACAAACCATGCTAGATTTTCTTTCTGACCAAGGTATTCATTTTATTTTTAAAAAAATATTTTTTTTTCATGTATGTTATATATGATAATAGAATGGTACAGTGGCCTTGGGGTAGAGCTCTTGCCTCACAATCAGGAGGTTGTGAGTTTGATCTTAGGCAGAGGAAGATATTTCCGTCTCTGGGCATAATGAGAATACATCTGCTGTGAACTCCGCGTTGGCAACAGGAAGGGCATCCGGCCAGTCTGTGGAATGTTTAGTATGGTTTTGGTTTTCTCTTGCTGGATGGAAGACACGTCCTGCTCTTAGCTTTCCTAACCACATTTCAAATTTCCTTCGAATCTTTGTTATTTTTAAAATGGAACATACTTTGCCCCTTTTTGAATTGTTACTCTCCTATCTCAAAGACACAATGCAGGGTATTGCATTGCCAGTATTACGCAAGTTTAACTTAATTTAAAACTTTTCAATTTTCCTCCCGCAATAATACTTTATGTCTACTTAATAGAAAAAAAAAAGCAAGTTGTATGTTTTAATTTGCTACTAGATTTTAGATGTTTGATATACTGTCACGGGACTTTAGTGATCAATGGTCTAAAAAAATCAAATAGGTCAATAAAACCTAAAATATGCAATTTATTTTTGTAAGCAGTTTTGTATCAGCATTCAAGGTCTAGAGATTATGGGCATTTCAGGGCCAAAGTAGAACTTTCAGGTAGTTGGGCAAAGGTTGGAGACAAAGTAGAACAGTTGATAAGCAAATCTTTAGGGTTTTCTGTTTCAAAACGTTTTTGTCTGTCTTTTGTTATCATAGTTTTGCTGTTTTAACAACTTTGTGATATCAAGTTGCATAAATATATGGAGCAGTGGTGGCTAACCTTTTTGGCACTGAGCGCGTGTGCGCCGAAACCCAGAAGAGCAGCTCCCTGAGGCGTGCATGCGGAAGCACCGGAAACCGGAAGCTTAGCATGCGCGCTGGCCACCTGGTCTTCCAGTTTCTAATGCACATGTGCATGTGAAGACCAGCTGGTCAGTGCGCACATGTGTCCGGGGAGCTGCTTTCCAGTTTCCGGCACTCCTGTGCACGTGAAGATCAGCAGGCTGGTGTGCGCATGCACTCTGGGGAGCTGCTCTTCCAGTTTCTGGCACTCCCGCATGCGCAAAGACCAGCTGGCCAGTGCGCATGCGCACGCTGGAACCCAGAAGAGCAACAGGCAACAGCTGGCGTGCCCGGAGAGATGGCTCTGCATGCCACTTCCGGTACATGTGGCAAAGGTTCACCATCATGGATATAGGGGGTAATATGCTACTTGTTCAAAAAATGTTTGTTCCATGTCACATACAAATAAAGCTGGATCCAAATGTCTGCCAAAATTATTTTATAATTTGTCAAGATTATACAGTAATTTGTCCTGGAGCTTCTCAGAGGACCAAGGTGCACCCCAGGATCAGCACACAGGGAGAGGATACATAGGAGCAATCCGGTGCATTTTGTTTTGTTTCACAAAAGAAAACAATCATAATGTGTGCCTTGATGTTGACAAAACAGAGATTTCATTTGACGTAACCAATTGCTTTATATTGTCCATTTTATACTGTCAAATTTCCCAAAGCATGATTGTTGGTATATATCTTTTTAAAATAAAATAGATGATAGTGAAAAATGAGATAATAAAAAATAAGAGCATCTAAGGTATTTCCAGAAAATCACAATGAAGAAATATGTTAGGGTAGTGCTTTGCATGGTTAGGGCATGAAATTAAATTCCGAAACCGGAAGAGTTCAAACATATGGCGCCCTGTAAACTTAAAGGAAGGTCCTGATGACAATAGAATAAACCTACTAAGCTTAATTGGAGAATGTTGAGAAATGGTTGGTCTGCTGTATTAATAGAATATATGTGTCTTTATCCCGAATAAAATATGCCAGGGTTTATCTATCATATTGGCTGTGTGATAAAAATAGATCAATTTTTCATTCCACCAAACTTGATTTTAAGAGCAGAGTCAATGACAGTATAGCTTGGAATTTTAAATCTACAAATCAAGCAACTGCTTGAAGTTTTCATTAATGAGGTCCCTAAATTAAGACTTGGACAATCAGATTAGGTTGCTGCGACCATTACGCTCTGCCTGTATCTGAAATAGTTTTGAGAAAGGATCTTCCATTTTCTGTTGCTTTTCTCACTTTTTTAAGTTCCAAGGTTTCCATTTCAAGCCTCTTCTTCGGTCCTCAGTTTTGAAACCATGCCGTCTATTATAGGTTCATCTGCATCATTCTTGTATTCTCTATCTTGTCTGTCTATCTTTTCTATCTTGTTGCCCTTTGCATTTTCACACATAGGATACCTAAGGCAACTAACAGGTAAATGACAAACTAAGCCAGTTACAGTCTAAAACCAGAGTTCTAATAATCATTTCCAAAGTGAGCCTGACTGAAAGAGTAAAAGAGCTTTTACTTCGTTTATGAATTCTACCGCTTGGAAATATACAACAGCAAATATTTCTTTGCAGACTTTTTGAGGGTAGAAAGAAACATTCTTCAAAGCACCTGAAGGCAGAAGCAATGGATGGAAACTAATCAAGGAGAGAAGCAACCTAGAACTAAGGAGAAATTTCCTTACAGTTAAAACATTTGATCAGTGGAACAACTTGCCTCCAGAAGTTGTGAATGCTCCAACACTGGAAGAGATTGGATAACCATTTGTCTGAAGTGGTGTAGGGTTTCCTGCCTAAGCAGCGGGTTGGACTAGAAGACCTCCAAGGCCCCTTCCAACTCTATTAGTCTATTCTATTCTATTCCAAATGGCAGTTTAGTTTTCTTGAGATCCATGCCTTTCAGTCTTCTTTCCTATATTCCTTCTTTGTCAGTGTAGGATTTTCCTTCCCAGCTTTTAAAATCATTGGATGGACAGGTTAATCCTCAATTTACAACTATTCGTTTAGTGACTGTTGAAAGGTACAACAGCACTTCCTTAAAAATGACTTATGACCATTTTTTGCACTTATGACCACTGCGGCGTCCTCATGGTCACGTGATCAAAATTCAGACGCTTGACGGCTTGCTTGCAGCGAGGATGGCTGCAGCATCTGTGGCTCATGTGATTATCATTTGCAACTTTCCCAGCTGGCTTCCGACAAGCAAAGCCAATGGAGGAAGCCAGGTTTGCTTAATGGCCGCAAGGTTCTCTTAACAACTGCGGTGATTCACTTAACAACTGTGGCAAGAAAGGTCATACAATGGGGCAAAACTCACTTAGCAACAATCTTGCTTGCCAGTGAAAATTGTGTGTCTTCTGTTCCTACATCATTTGTGAGGTGGAAGCAGCCGCTTATAATTTGATACAGTAGTAATGAGAATTCTGTTTCCTTTTAGAAAAGAAAGATGTAACACAGAGTCTAGAAAACTATACGTCAAAATGCCCAGGAACAATGGACTTCATTACCCTTCCAGATGGCTTAAAGCTCCCCCCTGTGCCATTCACCAAACTTCCCATTGTCAGGTAATCTACCTTTTGTTTCCATTCTGTGTGAGAGGATATAGTAATGAATCATATGTCCCATAGGGCTCCTTTGGGATGGTACTAGAGAACAATACTAGACTGAGGGCAGTGAACTGTTTCAGGAGGAAATCACTTGGGTAAAAGCAGGTGCCTTTCGGAGGAGATTGAAAGGCCTGTAAGCAGTAATTGAAACTGCCTCTTGTATTCTGGTGACATTCTGGGGTGCCTGTTTATAGATGTTGCTGCCCTGTCATCACCATCGCCTTAAGTGTTTTCTTGAAGAAGACGTTGAAAAATATAAGCCCCTTTAAAGAACAGCCAATAGGTGTTGCCAGTTTTGAAGCACCTGTGTGAATTTTATGTCATTGTTTTTGAAATTATTCTATTCTATTCTATTCTATTCCATTCCATTCCATTCCATTCCATTCCATTCCATATTTTATTCTATCCTATGCCATATTCTATTCTATTCCATTCCATATTCTGTTCTATTCTGTTCTGTTCTGTCCTATTTTACTTTTTCTGTTCTGTTCTGTTCTGTTCTTTCCGCTCCGCTCCACCCACCCTATCCCATCCCATTCTCATAGTTGATCAATTCTTTCATGGCTGTTTTATGACGCTGTTGAACAGTATCATTCCTTTGTTCAAGGAACTGAGTTTGGAGGAGCTGAAATATTTTCCCTATTTTAAAACTTAGCAGTTTTGGGGTATTATTATTTTTAATCTTAGATTTGTATCCAAACTCTTTTGTACAGAGATTTGCAAGTCTCCTCAGGGTATAGCGCTTTAGGGAATTGCTGAGAAATTGATTGTTCCACAGAGATTTTAACGTCATGAATGAAATTGTAAGATCCTGGATTGGTGCTTTCAGTGAAGAAGTGAAAGTTGAATTGAGTCTGCGTGCTCTGTGTTCATACGACTATGACCTGAGCTATTGTTATTTAATAGTATTTAGTAGTTTTAATATTAGAAAGTGTGTGAAGTGTGTGAAGTGTGCAAACAACACGATGGCTTGATAATATCAAACTGATACAAAGATAAACATCCACGAACTGAACGAAGCTGTGCTTGACAGGATAACATGGAGAGCACTTGCCTAAAAAGCCACCAAGAGTTGGACACGACTGAATGGTTAAAACAGCAAATTCACTAGAGGTAGTCTTTGACTTACAGCAGTTCATTTAGTGGCCGTTCATACTGAAAAATGGGACTTACCGACCAATTCTTACACTTAAAACTGTTGCGGCATCCCCATGATTATGTGATCAGAATTCAGACTCTTGTCAACTGACTCATATTTATGATGCTTCTGGAGTTATTTGATCACCTGCAGAGTAGAGTAGAGTAGAGTAGAGTAGAATACAGTAGAGTAGAACAGAACAACAGAACAACAGATCAGATCAGATCAGATATTGGAATGTAGACTAGACTAGACTAGACTAGACTAGACTAGACTAGACTAGAATAGAATAGAATAGAATAGAATAGAATAGAATAGAATAGAATAGAATAGAATAGAATAGAATACTTTATTGTTACTTTGAATGTACGCTAATTAGCCCACATGAAAATGAAATTGCGTTGCATACAGCTCTCAAACCTTTGCGACTTTCTGACAAGTAGAGAGGGAAGCCAGATTCACTTAACAGCCTTGTTACTAATTTAACAATTGCAGTGATTCACTTAACAACTGTGGCAAGTACAGTCATAAAATGGAGCAAAATTCACTTAATGCCTGTCGCACTTAGGAAGAGAAATTTTTGCCTCAATTGTGTTCATAAGTCGAGGACTACCTGTAGTTTAGTATTTGCTAGTTATTTTTGATAACATGACTGTCTTTTGATTATAAGACCCCCCCAAGGCTATAAAAGAAACGTGTGGATAGTTCATTTGTGCTACACTTGGGTGTCTGTTTCTAGGAGATGTTAGGCAATAATGAATGTTCTATTGTTTTTCCAATTCTGACTCTTTTTTGTATACTGTAGTAGATTATTCAGTGGAAATGCTCTGCTCCTCTTTGGCATTGGCTTAAATCTATTGAGTATACATTTTATATTGGAAAATTGTTGTTTAAAACTTCCTAGCTGAGTTTCTCTGTTGGAGGGGTATCAATAGATGAAGTGTTATGATCACTACCTGTAAACTATGGCGAGGAAAGTTGTAAAATGGGGCAAGACTCACTTAACAACTGTCTCACTGAACAATAAATTTTGGGCTGAATTGTGGCTGTAAGTTGAGGAGAAACTGTACAGTAGTCCTATATCTTCTTTCCATCTTTATTTCATCTAATTTGAATCTGTTATTATCTGCCACATTGGTATCTTTTTCAATTTCATTCCAAGTCCTGAATTCAGAGATCTTTTGAAAGGTTTGCCTTCTTTTTTTCTATACCTGTTTCCATCTCCAGTGATTTGATAGATGTAACACAGTTTGCCTCTTCTGAGAGCTCTCTGAAATTCTCTGAAAAGTTCCTTGCTGAGTCTTTTCTCTCTCTTGGCTTTGGCCTCTTTCTCTTGTTCTTGACAACTTCCACGATTTGTTCCCGACATTCAGTTTGCTTTCTTCTGCTTCTTCATCTCCAGCAGTCTCTTTTCACATTCTTCCGAATGACTTCTTTAAGTTCATTCCACAGTTACTCCGAGCTCCTATCAGTGAGATTCAGAGCTTCAAAGCGATCCCTGTTGCTCTTCTTGAAAACGATATGTCTGAGATCATACGGTGGAAACCGGTTGGTTTTCTTCCTCTTTAGATCTCTATTCTGAAAGGCCCTCAGCAGCATGTTGAACCTTAGGGGCCCATAAACTGGTACTGTTTTGTCCATCATACTATATTTTTTTATCGATGTGGTTTTTCCTGCGCAATATGAATTGTTGCCTTTGTCATTAAAGAGCTCATGACCATTGTCACTTGGAATCAATGCCTCAAGCACTTTTATATACTGTTGCTTGCTTGCTTTAATTGGACAGCTGAAAAATGTCCTTTCTACCCTGTTTCTCCAACAATACGGCCTCCCCCAATAGGAAGTCCCAGCATGTTTTATAGGCATGAAATGAAATTAAGCCCCTCCCCCCAAATTAAGGCCTATATTAAAACATGTGAAATGGGGGGGAATGGTGGGGGGGGCTTGCCGTTAGGAAGTACTTTTGTTGCACACCCGGATATGGTGCTGCCTGCGTTGACCCCGATATGAAGTACCCCACCAATGCCGAGGTCAACATCCAAGCCATCGCTGCCCTGCCCGCCCGAAGACGCAAGGGGGGGGAATTAAGTCACCCCCGAAAAGACGGCCTAGCCATTTTTTCGGGGCTCAAAAAAAAATAAGACCCGGCCTTATTATATGAGAAACATGTTACTTTTGTTGAGCCTGCTGGGAATACATACAGGTAGTCCTTGACTTACGAGCACAATTGAGCCCAAAATTTCTATTGTTAAGTGAGACAGTGACTTTAGCCCCATTTACGGCCTTTCTTGCCACAGTTGTTAAGTGAATCAGTTGATGTTAGTAACCCAATTGTTCAGTGAATCTGGCTTCCCTGTTGACTTTGCTTGTCAGAAGGTCTCTAAAGCTGATCACGTGACCTTGGGTCACAGCAAAGGTCATAAATATGAGCCAGTTTGCCAAGCCTCTGAATTTTCATCACGTGATCATGGCGATGCTGCGAAGGTTGTTAAATGTGAAAAACGGTCATAAGTCACATTTTTCACTGCCGTTGTAACTTTGAATGGTCACTAAATGAACGGTTGTAAGTCAAGGACTACCTGTGGTCTGACCATACACTCTAGAGTTTTCACTCATCCCTCCTATGATGTGTTGTGGCCTGCCAGCAGAGCTGGCGGCAGACTTGGACAGTGAGGGGGTTGGGGAAGAACATGGGCCAGTCCTGGAGTCTAGGGAAGGCTCTGCGTCGGAGGCAGAGATGGCGCCAGGGCCATCTGACAGTTATCAGCTGCCTTTGGAGCCAGATATCAGTGGGGCTGAAGAACATCTGGAGCCTGTTCCCAATGTGCGCATGCACAGCGCTGCCAGGAGAAGGGAACAGTTAGGGAACAAGGCACAGGTGGGCGGTGAATGGCCCTTCCCCTAGGGAATAAAGAGGAGCGAAAGTGGAGGTGGGTTTGCAGGAGACAATTATTTCAATTCATTAAGGTGAAGATCTGTTCCTGACTTCTTGCCAGGTAATTTCTGCTACAGCGTGGCGTTTGGAAGATATCGGCCTGGCAACTCTCCAAGCCTGATAAAGGCCTGTAGTTGTGAAATCTCAAGAAAGACTGTTTGCCAGGACTTTGCTGGAGAGGAATTCAGTTTAACCTAAATAAAAGGGGTTTTATTGGGGCGAGGAGTCGGCTTCATGATCTTGGGAAGCTTAGATCAGAACATGATGAGGAAGGACTTGGTGGTGAGAACTTAGTCTTTAAAGTGCCACAAAATACTGTTGTATCTTAAGTATGCATTTGGTTAACATTGGTCTGTGTCTCGTGTACATTGCTTTGCCTAGGGAAATTGATATTATTAATAATATTGAATGCGCATTGAATCAATATTTAGTTGTATTAAGAGTAGACCTTGAAATTTTGTATTTTAATGAGCCTCAGTGATTTTACTGGATCCGCTTTAGATCCGATTAGATTCAACCCACTGTTTATATAAATAATTTTGAATTCTCCTTTATTGGTAACTTTGAATTGATAGAATGATCCTCTTCATTGTATTTATGGTTTCCAATTCACTAATGGGGTGTTTCTATTCGGTGTTTACTACTGGGAAGTTCTAATATTGTTATGTATCTATCATTTTACACAAAAGCTTTACACTGTTGCTGTTCTTAAATGGGGAATTTATAAGAAGTGGGCAAAGAGATCAGGACAGAAGGAAAGAAAAGCTATAATTAGTGTCTATCATGCTGATAATCCATGCTATTGTGTCTGCCATCGTAATTGTCTTTCCTAAATTTGAATTTTGTAGTAGCTCTACGTAAAAAACAATCCCTTGTTCATTGAACAGATCTGTCAAGCTCTTAAACCTCCCTGTTAGCCTTCGACCACAGAAAATGAAAAGCCTGCTGGGCCAGAACATGGCAACGAAAAGTCCCTTTATATATTCGCCAATCGTCGCTCACAATCATGGAGAGGAGCAAAGCAAAAAAATAGGTGAGAAGCTCATTATTTTTTAACTTGCATTCTCGTTTTTACATGCAGGATCTCACCGGGGCTTGTTTTCTGGCTTTTATGCTGCAAATTGACCCAAATCGTGATTTGCCAATTTTTGGATCAATATGCTATTTCCTCTTCTTGATTATAAAATTGACAGCTTTTCGCAGACGTATCCACCTGTGCTTGTAGGGCACGTCGCTAGCCCATTGTCACGCGAAACTTGATTTACCAAATGTAGTGGAAGCATTATATAGATTGACTATAAGAATGCTTCATAAAAATGTGTCCTTTTGATATTTTTACAAATGTATTGAGACCTTTCAAACAAATTTGTCCTAGATTACTGAAATAAATTAACATTATTTCTAGCCTACTTATACTGTTCCATTTAAAACAAAGACAAATTGGTGCGCAGCAACCATTGTGTCTTGCCAGATTATCTAAATACAGGTGGTGTTTGGACCTTAGCTCCAAATTCTGCCATTTCCTTCCAACCTGTCCCATCTCATTTTGTGTAAAAATGCGTTTAAACATTTTGTAATTCAAATACCTGCTGCTTGGGAAATAGGCTTCCTTTTCTATCTCATTTCCCAAAATATTCCTAAAATGCGCACAAAAAATGTATCTAATCATAGTATAGGTGAAATCTGCTGAATTGTTGATGATCTCTGAGCTTGCTTTCCTATTTGCAGATCCTTTACCAGGTTATATAAAATTATTAGTGCTTCAGACAGTAAGTTTTGCTGTCTGGTAATACGTTTTTTTCTTTGTTCATCCAAATTTTTTTTCCATCTGTCTTTCTTTTGTGGGGTGTTTTGTGTGTGTGTGTGTGTGTGTGTGTGTTGTTTTTAAATGTTTCTAACAATTTGTAAATGGCTAGAAGTTGGGCAGCATATCCATTTAATAAATTATGCATCTCAAATGATCCATCTGTTAAAATACTACAGTGACTGGTCTCATTTGAGACAACAATGAATCTGCATACAGGCAGGAGGTTATACAACTTGCCTCGTGGTGTAACCGGAACAATCTGGAACTGAACACACTCAAAGCCGTAGAAATGGTGGTAGACTTTAGAAGAAACCTTCCTATACTACCACCTCTTACAATACTAGACAACACAGTATCAACAGTAGAGACCTTCAGATTTCTAGGTTCTATCAAGACCTAAAATGGACAACATCAAAAATGTCATCAAAAAAGCACAACAAAGAATGTTCTTTCTGCGCCAACTCAGAAAGCTCAAATGCCCAAGGAGCTGCTGATCCAGTTCTACAGAGGAATTACTGAGTTTGTCATCTGCACCTCTATAACTGTCTGGTTTGGTTCTGCAACCCAACAGGACAGACACAGACTTCAGAGGATAATTAGGACTGCAGAAAAAAACAATTACTACCCACCTGCCTTCCATTGAGGACCTGCATACTGCACGAGTCAAAAAGAGGGCTGTGAAAATATTTACAGACCCCTCACATCCCGGACATAAACTGTTTCAACTCCTTCCCTCAAAACGACGCTATAGAGCACTGCACACCAGAACAACTAGACACAAAACAGTTTTTTCCCGGAGGCCATCACTCTGCTAAACAAATAATTCCCTCAACACTGTTCAACTATTTACAAAGTCTGCATTACTATTACTGTTAATCTTCTCATCACTCCTTATCACCCATCCCCTCCCACTTGTGATTGTAGGACTGTAACTTTGTTGCTTGTATCCGTACAATTTATATTGACTGTTTCCTAGTATGATTTGATTGTTTATTGTACTCTATGACTATCATTAGGTGTTCTACGTTATGATTCTTGATTCTTAACGAATGTACCTTTTCTTTATGTATACTGAGAGTATTTACACCAAGACAAATTCCTTGGGTGTCCAGTCACACTTGGCCAATAAAGTATTCTATTCTATTCTATTCTATTCTATTCTATTCTATTCTATTCTATTCTATTCTATTCATCTATTCTATTATGCCCATTCACTGATGAAGCCATATGACATATGCTAATTTGCCTTCATTTTAATGGTAATGATGGCAGTTGACAGTTCTAGTTTCTCAAAATCCGTATGCAACTTTAAATGATTGATATTAGCCTGGGTCAGACATTATAATACAGCAATATTTATTAATTTTCTGCAGTGATTTCAATGTTGTATAATTCTCTTCTGGTATTAATATTAAATTAGATTTGTTTTCAGTTATTTATATTTATTTATATACAAAATTGGAACACCGCATCTTCTCACACAACGACTCTGAACAGTGTGCAATTAAAAGACTTATTATTAGTTTAGTTCTGGATCCTATCCCTAAAATAGTTTTTAATATGGTTATTCAATGAGGCACAGTCAAAACACAAATGTAGTAACTTGGTCCATTTCAGATAAACATAACTAAAATATCCCCCAGCTGTGCTTAAGTTACAACTGCAGTAAAGAAACTCTAAGCATACATGGAGAATTAGGCAATTTTTTATTGCAGTGGTTATCATTGCTTTATTTGAATGTGGCCTTTTTTTTTTTGACTTGTAAAAATTTTGTGGTGGTTTTGAGAATGGAACAAACATTTATACTGTGTGGTTTATATAAACCATTATCTGGATAGCATTCACTTCTTAATGTCATAATATGCCATAGTGAAGGATATATAGTGAAGGATACATACACAAACACACACACACACACAAATTTACCAGGTTATAAATTTACCAACTGCAGTGATTCATTTAACAACTGTGGCAAGAAATATTGTAAAATGGGGCAAAACTCACTTAACAAATGTCTCACTTAATAGCATAAATTTTGAGCTCAATTGTGGTCTTAAGTCGAGGACTACCTGTACTCCAAAGATGCTAGATGGCATAACATTCTAATGAATGGCCTTTTCTAGCCTAGATAACAGGTATACGTTAATGTGTTTCCGTAATGTATTCCAGTGTGTAAAGTGTGAAAACTCACGCTTACCATACATTATGGATGATTTAGGCCATATGCTGTTTACGCTAATACCATTTATTAATTTATTGACAGAAGTTTGCTAAAGTGAGAGCAGGCTCAAAATAGTTACAAGTGCTCAGAACGTATTTATTACTATCATTAACCAGAAATCTGCACATTAACAAAACAAACACATTTTTGGTTTCTTATAAAATAAAATGCAAACGTTAAAGGTGTTTTTTTTAAATGTAAACTTTAAAATGTAACTGCGTAATTGAGGCAATCAAGACATGTTGTTTTACAAAAAGTATAAAAACGCTGTCATTATCAAGAAAAGGGAATTATGCTGGTTGCAGTTGTACATAAAATAAATGAGAATTATGGGGTGCTTCAATAAATAGGAAGTTATAAGGCAGGCCTTTATAAATAGCTCAGTAGAACATCATAGGCTCTGTATTCAATAGAGCTTTCTCCATAAAAACACAGTGTCTAAGGAATTTTTTAATACTTTCCATGAAGAACAGCTTTGTGAAGATTTTATATCAGCGGTCCCCAACCTTTCCGCAGACTGGCAATGATGGCGGGGGTGGCATGAGGGGGTGGGGAGAAGGGCACGGTTTTGCGTGCACAATCTAATCTTGTGCATGCACAAATGGAGCTTCGTGCTCTCGCCCACTGCGTTGTCCCGATACCGATCCGTGGACCAGGTGTTGGGGACCCTTGTTGGAATCTTATGTGACAATCTATAGCCACATGTGATCACAGTATCCAATTCTGCTTAAATGCGTGTCTTGTCCAGAAAACTAACTTTCTGTTTATTTCTTCTGTAGATTTTCAATGGGTTCAGGGAGACGTTTGTGAAGTTCAGCTGATGGTGTACAATCCAATGCCGTTTGAACTCCGGGTAGAAAATATGGTATGTTTTGCATCCTGTTTCACCATAAAGCCTAATTTAGGTTTAGCTACGGGTAGCATTGGAGTCATTGTTAGTGATAGCTATAGTTAAGGTGAAATGGGGCAGTTCACTGCAGGGATTAAAACGTTCTGAGGAATCTTCAGAAGGAATCCTTTATATTGTGTTCACACTGTCAACTCACAAAGCTTTCCTGACCTGCTCCAAAGTTGCCATAGGCAGGGGGATGGGAAATCGGGCCTCGCAGTTGCACCGAGTAATTTACAGCTCAGTCAAAACAAGACACATCCTAGTTGGCTGAAGTCAAGGCCATCTCCACGGAGACCCACAACGTCTGGAGGGAGTGACTTCTACGATCCGCGAAATTGCTTTGTTGGAGAATGTGACTGGTGATGCACCTTGGGGGGAGGGGGCAACAGGGTCAGAGGCAAGGCGCTAACTGGGTGAAGTCAGAGCTGGCTTCGCTTAGGTTGTGCTGACATGGCGCTCCTAATAAACAACTGGATTTTTCTTGCACGATGAGGCTCCTGATTTTATTTGGGCAATTGGTCGGAACCCTGACACACACATCTTTGGAGAAGCCGCATGGATTATGCGTGCATCAGGCTAGAAATTCTGGTGTTAATCTTATCAACCCCCCATTGGAGCCCCAAGCAGTTGGTAGAACCAGGTCCTTAGGCTCTTACGTAAGGTCAGGAGGGTTGAAGTTGATCTCACTCTGGGTGGGGGGAGGGGCAAGATGTTCCAGAGGGTAGGCAGAATGGCAGAGAAAGCTCTTCTTCAGGACCCCGCTAACTGGAATACCTTGGCCGATGGGGCCCATAGCATGCCTTGAATACAAAGTTTACTTGTGTTTTTAAATTTTTTATAGATGAGAATATAAAAAGCTCTAAATTGGTTGTTTGTGTCCAGATGTTTCATTACCTGACTGGGTAACATCAGCAATGCTACTTTGCTCCCTGTTTACATATAGGTTTGCCCTGCCAATTTTGGTGGGAATGTGTTTTTTTGTCTTTGGTAGTTCCTTGATTAGGCTGTGGTTTTCTGCTTGACTATTTGGCTGGTGTTAATTTCACTTACTTTTACTTTGTTCTGGGTGTTGGTTGCTGTATTCTGGTCTTTTTTCTGTGATCTTTTTGACGTATGGTTGTGTTATTCTTTTAATAGCATATGTTATTTGCACAGTAACGGTCAGGCAGTTTTTGAAAATTATGCTGAGTACTTATCCATTTTGTTGGAAGATGTTGTATAAGCTGTCTGTTTCTGATTTTGGTGACAACTCACCATGGCCAACTCGCTGCAGGACAACTCAGTGCGGGACAAGAGTTATACTAATAACAAAGAAACGGTGGAATGGAATCATTAAAGAAAAGATGGAAAAGGAGGAACAGAATGAAATGTGAACGGCAAAAATTAAAATAATTATTATTTATCGTAAATAATTAAATAGAACTGTGAAATTGTCCTGCAATGAGTTGTCTCGCAGTGAGTTGGCTGTGGCGAATTTGCCGCAGAAAGTTTGCCGCAGCGAATTGGCTATGGCCAAGTTGTCCCATTCCTGCTGCAGTGTGCGCTCATTTATACTAAATAATGTTCTTCCACAGCTGCTCTTGTGGGAGGTTGGCTTGTTACTTTGGTAGTAACATTGGTTAATATATTTTCAAATCTAGGTAGATCAAGGTCCAATATGTTATGTTTGCAAATTGTACAAATGTACGCTATTATAGTTGCAACTTTTATTTATGTTTGAATTAAATATACAACTCAGTAATTAACAGAGATAAGCCTAAACTCTAATATTATGGGGTACGGAGGCAAAATTATCTTTGTTGTGTACATTGCAATAAACATTGTCATCTTTCTGCTTTACTTTGTTATTTTTTTTAATGTACAGTTTCATCAGCTTTATAAAAATGATATATATGAATAAGTTATGCAGAAAAGTTTTGACATTATCCCATACATCAGAAAGTGGTAAAAAATGCAATAAAATTCCACGAAAGAAAGATGCTGAACTTTTTCTGTGCCAAATGACACTGATGGTCGTATTTGTGATGTTTATATTGCTTTCCTGAAAGTTGGCATAATCATTTGTCAAATATATGTCTTGTACTGTAGGTGTAAAATATATTTGGTTCAGTCTACTGAAATTATTATATAATAAATTTATATTTATAATTTATAATGAAATTATAAAAATTCGGTTTACTGAAATTGCTGACATGTATTAATAGTTATGTTTAAAAAGAACCACATATATTTTAACCTGTTTGAATCAACTCTGAAAAATACTGTTCTGACCCCTCCTGGATAGCTAAGGCTGCCTGGGAGGGAACTAAGGGATAGATCCAAGTGTTGGTATCTTCCTCTTTGGAGGGGCGAGGTTCCCCTTCAGTCTTGAAGGAGATAGTGGTACTTCCACTCCTGAAGAAGCTATTGCTGAATCCTTTCATTTGGACAACTATCAGCAAGTCTCCAATATTCCCTTTATTGTGAAGGTTGTAGAGAAGGTTGGCAGATCACAGTTGGAGGAAATGATAACAATACAGAATAACAGAATTGGAAGAGACCTTGGAGGTCTTCTAGTCTAACCCCCTGTTCATGCAGGAGACCACAAGGGTCTTCAAACTTGGCAGGTTTAAGACTTGTGGACTTCAACTCCCAGAATTCCTGAGCTAACATGACTGGAGGAGGAATTCTGGGAATTGAAGTCCACAAATCTTAAAGCTGTCAAGTTTGAAGACCCCCGCGTGTAACAGCTGTTCAATCTCTTCTTAAAAACCTCCAGTGAAGGAGCACCCACAACTTCTAGAGGCCAGCAGTTCCACTGATTCATTGTTCTCACTGTCAGGAAGTTTCTCCTTAGTTCTCCTTAGCCTTTCTCCTTGGTTAGTTTCCATCTGTTGCTTCTTGTCCTGCCCTCAGGTGCTTTGGAGAATAGGTTGACTCCTTCTTCTTTGGGGCAGCCTCTTGTCCAACTTCAGCCTCCCTTCAGACAGAAGGTATAGATATAATACAAAGACAGAATTGGTCATTCTTGTTGATGACCTGTAGCAGAGCCAGGATGGGGGTGGTGCATTCATCCATGTACTTGTCCCAAAGGTGCTTTTTTCAAGAGGCAACTGGGTTTTCTGGTTTTTCTTCGAAGACGTTCTCACACAAGAAGCTTTACAGATTACAGAATACAGACAACCAGAGTTGAAAGGGACCTTGTAGGTCGTCTACCCCCCCACCCATGCAGGAGACCCTACACCATTTCTGACAGATGGGAGTCCAATCTCTTCTTGAAAGTCTCCAGTGATGAAGCTCCCACAATGTCAGAAGGCAACTTCTGTTCCATTTATGGATTGTTCTCACTGTCAGAAAGTTTCTCCTTATTTCCAAGTTAAATCTCTCCTTGTTCAGTTTCCATCCATTATTCCTTGTCTGGCCTTCAGGTGCTTTAGAAAATAGCTTGACCCCTCTTCCTCTCTGTGGCAGCCCCTCAAATATTGGAACACTGCTATCGTGGTCCTTCTTTTCACTAGACTAGCCAGGTCCAGTTTCTGCAACCGTTCATCATATGTTTTATCCTCCAGTCCCCTAATCATCCCGGTTGCTCTTCTCTGAACTTTTTCTAGAGTCTCAACCTCTTTTTATAGTGTGGTGACCAAAACTGGATGCAGTCCTCTAGTCCAGCTGCCTCTTGAAAAAAGCACCTTTGGGACAACCATGACCTGGATGACTGAGAATCTCCATAGACATCCATTGACTTGTTTATCTCTCAGTGACTTTCAATACTATCAGCCACAGTATTATTCAGAACGGATTGGGATTGGAATTGGGAGGCACTATGATGCATTTGTATTTTGAGAATGTCTTTACATTGGAAAGTGGGTTCTACTTTGCACACCTAACTGATAAATTGAAAAACACAGGTGGTGGGTGGAGGTGTAATTATATCAGAGCCATGATGTACAACAGGGCTGTGCAACAATGGCTCCTTTACAAGTTATGGACTTCAATTCCCAGAATTCCTGAGCCAGCCTCAGGAATTCCTGAATCAGCCTCAGGAATTCTGGGTGTTGAAGTCCACAGGTCATAAAAGGGTCATAGTTGCCCACCGCTGATGTACAAGAATGAATGCTAGTTGTTAAGAGGTAACAGTTGAACTCATGTATGGCCAAGAAAATATACTGTTTGAATGGTAGGGATTATGTAGAAAAGGATTCATAACCAAACTTTGTTATTTTGCGGCTTGATGAGAGGGTATTTGTTATAGAAAGGAAGGTTTTTACGGTGATTGTTATAAGATTGGACAATATCTTCTCACTGAGATAATTCCTCTTGCCTTTCTAAATGGGATGAGCCATAAAACCATAGAACTGTGGTTCGATGTGATCATTTAATCCAGCCCTTGCAATGTGCAGGAAAACCAAAGCATCCTTAAAAAATGATTGCTCAATCAACCTCTTCTTAAAAAAACTTGATATAGAAAACCCACAATCTTCCTAGGTAGATGTTTCATTGCTGTACCTATTTATTGTTAGGTAGTTTTTCATCCCTTTTCGTCTGGGTAACAATTAGAATGACACCTGCTTTACTTTGTAGTAAGATTTTTTTTTTGAAAATGTATATGACACATATAGACGCATCTACATATACATAGCATTGATATCACATTTACATTTGAAGAACAGCTTAACTTTTTTTGTTATTCCTTGCAAGAAAGTTTGCTGTCACAGTTACCAGTAGAATTAGCACATCAACAGTATGAGTTGCATGAACTAATAGGATATTAAAATGGGATTTTTAAAGATGAAACTGACAACACAAGAGCCAATATTTCAGGTTCTTCTCATAATCATTCCCTTCAGCCAGATGCTTTACCAGGTAATGTACTAATTGGGAATGTTTTCCACAGAATGAATAATGTATATGAATGGCTTTCTACAAATGTGCTCAGCAAGATAACATACAGTAAAATGCATCCAATAAGCCCTTAAAATGCAACAGTCAGAAGGAGATTAGGAATAGTGATTACAATTCCTAATAGTATAATTATTCAAATATTTTAAAGGATAATTTTATTAGCATAGGGGCATAATATGATGTCTTGCCTTCAGCATCCTTTTTTGCTTAACAGAATGAAATTGAATTTGCTTTTTACATTCCCAGGGACTACTCACGAGTGGTGTTGAGTTTGAATCCCTCCCTGCAGCTCTCTCTTTACCTGCAGAATCTGGTCTCTACCCTGTGACACTTGTTGGTATTCCTCAGTCCCCAGGCCAGATCAACGTCAATGGTAAAGATTACTAATAAGCTGTTCTCTACTTTGAGGAGTGTAAGCTGTTGCAAACCATTTCAGATTGTGTTAATATTTCAAAAAAAAAAAAAATGAAGCCAGAATTGTTCATTTCTAAGTTGATATTATTACTACATTGTAAATAGCAGCAGTTGGCTGGAGAATTCTGGGGGTTGAAGTCCACAAGTCTTAAAATTGCCAAGTTTGGAGACCTCTGCTAAATAGTAATGAAAAGGATGACGGTTTCATGACCACGTTTCAAGAGAATCTTTTAGGAAGCTAATAATCCAAAGAATCTGTTACAAGTTGTCCTTGGGACCGGAATTTCCATTGCTAAACCAAGGCGGTTGTTGAATTGAGTTGCACCTGACTTTATGACCGTTTGGCCATAGTTGCTTCAATGCTTCACGACAGTTGCTAAGTGAATTGTGCAGTCCTTTGGTGAGTGTCTTTCCCCCATTGACTTTGGGAAGCTGAGCTGGCTGGGAAAGGTGCAAACACTGTGATCACATGACCCTGGGATGCTGCAGTCATCCTAAATACATGCCAGTTGCTAAGGGCCTGATTTTTGAGCATTGTGACTGTGAGGATGCTGTGACGATTGGTGCAGTAACAAAAGTGTAACTCACTTTTTCCAGCGCCATTTTAACTTCTAGCAGGCGTTTAAAGAATGGTTATTAAGTTGAGGTCTACCTATATTAAGATCATCCTCTGCAAATGTGATGAACAAAGACTGTATTCTGGACTGTAGATCAGAGTTCCCCAACCTTTTCAACTTGGCGAACTGATGGGGACATGGAGGGGGAGAGGGATTGGTTCTGCGCAAGCGGTGGGCAAGAGCACATGTGTGTGCACTCCATTTGCGTGAGCGGTAGCAAATGTGCCCCACCACTTGCACAAATGGCACGCACGTGCTCTCCCACGGTTCGCGCAAGTAGGGATGCATGCACATGCTTGCCCGCCACTTCCGTGGCCCGGTTCCGAACAGCTCAAGGTCCAGAGGTGGGCCACGTTCTGGAGATTGGCGACCCCTGCTCTAGATTATGATGAAATGCAGAAAATATTGTGACCTGATCTAGGACTGCCAGACTGATACGTGATTTGAAATTTAGCTATCGTTTAGCTTTTGTAATGTAGTTATTTTTGTTGTGTTTGGAACATAATTATGTCCGTAAATTGTAGATGGCAAATTAATGAAGAGTGAAAAGAACCAACAGAAGGGCTGTGCCATAATAATCTGCCTCTGATAAGCACTACTTTTTATTTTATCTTGTATGTTAGGAATAGATTTCTAGAGCCTTAAAAAAATGAGCAAAATGCAGAATAGATATTTTTTGCAACCCCATTTTTTATTAATCCCAAATCCACAAATTCAGGGCTCTGAGACTATTTGGCACTATTTGCCAAATGTAGTTTTTTTGGTCAAAATAAGCAAACTATATGAATATTTGTTTCTCTGTGCTAAATTTACCTCAACGGATAGCCCACAAATTTTGGCTTCATCACTTTCAGTAATACCACTATTGTGCCCCTTCCCCAGGATGTGATAGTTGGTTTAATTAGACAAATTCAATCTAAACATCAGGCTGACTGTGCGCCAACCATAATAATATTATTAATTAGTTGACTGCTGGCCATGAAAAGTTCTTATAATCTGCCTTAAAAGGAAAAATGACCTGAGCCACATTGATCCGTGATTCGACCAAGCTATTATATTGACTTGAGAATGAAAATGATTCTCAACTAAATCTTCCTAATCTCTCTGCATTAGCCAATAAAATTAGCATGTTTTAACGTCAAAATCCTAGCTGAGGTTTCTTAGCCATAATGGTTCTCCTATTGTTTTTAACTGTGCGGTATCCAAACTAGAAATACGACCAACTGGCACTTAGCCTTTTCGATGTTCAGTACATTTTTCACAAATTAAATAACTCTCTGGTTCTAACAGCTATAGTAGTATTATAGTATTTTCATTTGTGCTGGATGATTGATTATTTCTGCTCAATCTCTGACTGATTTCTCATGGTGACAGGCTATCACACCTCAGTCTTTGGAGTCTTCAGTGATTGCCTTTTGGATAAACTGCCAGGAATAAAGACCTCTGGTTGTACAGTGGAAGTCATTCCATCTTTACCTCGGTTGCAGATCAGTACTTCATTGCCCAGGTAAGAATTCTGGTGGTCAATTTTCAAGTTGGCAAACTCTTGTGTTTATCAATATCTAAACAGCTATTACATTAGTAATAGGTGCCTATTAATTGAATGCATTGTTTAAAACACAAACTCTTTTTCCTTTTTTTTTTAAAAAAAAACCAGAATAATTATAAATGATACTTCTTAACCTTAAAAAACAGGTGCATTGAATAGCACCTTTTCTATTTTTCTTCAACTTTTATTCCTGCACTTTTTGCTTTTCCCTTGATCTTTCTTTTTTCCTCCTTCCTTTACATTAGTTGGCACTAGTTTTTATCTTATTCTTTAAAAGTTTTAATAAAAAACCATACAAAATAAAGGAACAAAAATATCTTAACCTGTCCCCTAAATGTTAAGAGTTGATAGAGGGTGAAAGTGCCTGAGGGAGAGCTTATTTTCTCTCAAACCAAATTTTAAATAATGAAATTGTATTTGCCCCAGTTTCTGTATTATAAATCATTTTAAAATGGATGAGTCTTTCAAATGCAATATAGTTGAGTCCTGCTACTTTGAGATTAAAAAAAAAGTTATTTATAAGTGGAACCTTCAGTGATTGCAATGAAAAAATTATCTTGACTGTGTCCATGGTTCATGTAGGGATTTATGCTCTTAAAGTGAGATTTCTCTTGCTTACCTCTGCAGCCTCCAGCTTTGCTCTGGGGGAGTCCTAAAAATTTTGGAAACATGTTTTGGGCAATTTTCTCTGCTTGGGGTGGTTTTTTTTTGGTGTGTGTATGTGTTTTATTATGATTAATATTAATATTTGTCCTGAATTGAATGTTCAGCATGGTTTTCTTTTAAAACTTGCTTGAAACTATATTTAGTAAGGGATTTTAAACGGCTGAGAAAAGTTATGGCCAAGAGATCGCAATTTGTAAAGGAGAGCAGTGTGTGTATGCTTATATGTGAGAGTTTGCAGCAGAAATTCAAATCCAGAAAGCATACACAGATGACTGCATCCACAGCAGGATTCATTAACTTCTTTATATACATAACAACATATTAAGTGAAGTTTCCAATACCAATAGTAGATACTTCCAACATGGTAAAGGTTACAAGCAAAAACACAAGCAGCAGCTTCAGAGTTCAGAGCCAATTAGTTTATGTTTCAGAGCTGAGCACAGAGCAGAGATAAACCACGCCCAGACTCCCTTTTAAGTTTCAGTTTCTAAATCAGCTGTCATTGGCTGACTTTGTTACCATGTCTTTGTCAGTTCATGAATATTCTGATAGTTTAAGTGTATGAGTCTGTCTGTCGGTGTGTGGGTGTGGGTGTGTATTTTCTGAAGTTTTCACGGGTATTTATATGTATGGTATTCAGCTTTGTTCGGGTATTTTCCCACGTCATTATAGTTGTGCTTTTAAAGTTGTAGCAACGTTTCAGCAGAATCTCATCTGCCATCATCAGGCTTCTGTATTGTGTTTGTGAGTGAGACTTTCACAGCCGTTTCTGTTTTAAATTTGGGGCTAGCCTACTTCTGTGCCAGAATGGTTTTTTCTTCATCCTGATTGGTTGGGAGTCTTGGTCTGTGTTTATTGGTCTTGGAGTTTGCTGTGTTCTGCTTGATTGGTGTTTCTAATATCTTCTGTCTGTTTTGTAGCTTTTTTTGTCTTGATTGGCTGGCAACATTGTGTTCCTGTATTGGAGGCTTTTAATTCGGCTTGGCTCCGAGTAAACGGACGGCTATCATTTATTAGGAAGCTAGGTTTCATCTAGGTGCCTGGTTGGGGTGTGTTTGAGCTGGAGGTATCAGGGGGGAGTCTGTTTGTGCCCAGGTGTTTGCCTAGCTTGTATAATGATGTGGGAAAATACCCGAACAAAGCTGAATACCATACATATAAATACCCACGACAACTTAAGAAAACAAATATATGTATATATATATGTATGTATGTGTATGTGTATGTGTGTGTGTGTGTGTATATATATATATATATATATATATATGTTTTCTTAAGTTTTCGCGGGTACTTACATGTATGGTGTTCGGCTT